GGGTCTTCCCCCACACTCTCTCTCCACACCGTCCTGCACTGCTCAGCACTCACTGACCTTACTACATCTGACTCGGGGTTTTCATCCCTGGTACTTTACCCAGCACCATTGAACATAGCACAGGTGCCCAAGGGAATGTTTATACAACAAGTTAGTTATACAACAAGTTAGCAAACAATGAATGTTGTTGTTTTTATGTGCCATGGAGTCGGTTCTGACTCATAGCGACCCTGTACAGGGTTTCTGAGGCTGTAAATCTTTACGAGAGCAGAACGCCTCATCTTTCTCCCATGGAACAGCTGGTAGTTTCGAACTGTTGACCCTGAGGTTCACAGTCCAATTCGTAACCACTACGCTACCAGAGCTCCTTAAACAATGAATATATGGTGCAAATTGTCTTGATAACCTTGTGGGCAAGATGGTTCAGTAAGTAGCCAAGTGCTTTAACAGCTGTGCTACCAGTCCTCCTTCGTGAGGCCTAGCAGGTTGCAGTAGGGGCTGTTGCTGTCTGCCCTTCATTTCCTTCATTGTTGACTCAGGGACAGCAGGGAAGCAGGTCAGTGGCTCTCAATGTAAAGAACAGGTTTCCCATCCCTGGGATAGTAGCCCGCCTGAGTCGGCACAAGAGCCTGTCCTGAGGGCCCTTCACGATGTCACCGGGACTCATCCTAGTGGACATGCCACCTAGGCATCCTCCCTAGGAGTGATGGAGCCAGGTTGGCAGTGGTCATGACCCCTTGTGGACCAGTGGGGTCTGAGGAGGAGACAAGAGTCAAGTTGGGTTGAGTCAGGATGCTCCTTGCAGTGTTCCTCACCAACTCCCTGTGCTCAATCTAGCCATCTTGTCCAGGCTGGATGTGTCGTCGGGAACACAGCTGATTTCTCATCGGCTTGTGTTCCTAAAGGAGCCCAGGTGATGCGTGGTTAAAGTGTGGGAGAGGACACTCGTCTTACTGCCTCCTTGCTCAGCATTCCTCAGCAACCTTTCTGGGAGTGCTGGGCAGAGTCCTGGAACTCACCTCACATGTTCCCATCCTCACACACAGTATGTGGGGCCCATAGCAACTGTGGCTCTTCCCCTAGGGTGGCCAACCTTTGTTTCAACATCAGAGAGGATGCTCTTTGCTGAAGACAAGGTGGGGTTAACTACAAAACGTTCCACAGGATTAAATCCCCTCTATCCCGAGCCGGTCCTCATCTCCCATCTGCATGGAATCAACCTCACGTCATGGTGACCTCGTGTATGCTTCACAGGACTTCCAGTAGCTGAAGTTTCCAAAGCTGATCACCAGGCCTTTCTTCTGAGGTACTTCTGAGTGGAACCAAACCTCCTACCTTAGAGTTGGTGCACCACCCAGGGACTCCCCAGTTAAAATTCTGTGTTGGTTAGTTACCACTGTTACTGCCTCACTGGGGGCTATGGTGAGGACAGCAAGAACTGTCCACTCATGGAGGGAGTCTTCTCAGGAGTTCCATGGGCTGGCTGGCAGGGACTGGCCTGAAGCTATATCCTCTCTCACAGAGAATAAGGCCACTTACTTTCAGAGTGGGGACAGGAAGAGTCATTTTATGATCATCAAACCCTTTGATCCCCACACATGAAAGACTCGCTACTGAAAGCAGCTATTATCATGGGGTTGAGGATGGGGCCAGAGCCACTGACCTGCCTCCTAAATCACCGGGAGCAGGGGGCACAAATGCTGCAGAAGTGGTGTCTAATCTAAGAAGTCACACGAAAACAGAACACCTTTCTCATCTGCTTTATATGTGTGTCGCAAATTACATACAGTTGACCAAATAGGAACCTTGAGGGAAAAGTGCAAAACTTTTGAAAAGTGTTTGACATTTGACCAGAAGCGTTTGAAAAGTTCACCTCCCCAGCAGGTGCCATTGTTATATAGTGACCTACGTTCATTTTTCTTATAGTTAACATAGTATCTTGTTTTTAACATTGCTGTCATGGTTGTTGTTGTTAAGTGTCCTCTAGTCAGCTCTGACTCACAGTGACCCTGTATAGGGTTTCCCAGGTGCAGCTGGTGGGTTTGAGCTACTGACCTTGTGGTTTGCAGGCCAGTGCTGATTCACAGCACCACACCAGAAGAAAAAGTGCCCCAGAAAGCAGATGATTCAAGTGAAAAAAAATTAATGTAATGAAATACTTAGTGATTAAAAGAATAGATTCTGAGAGCAGAGAGTAATACTTACATCACTGGCCCTGTGTTCTTGGCAAGTTCCCTGGCATCTCTAAGCCTCAGTCACCCTCATCTCAAAGGAATCCTCACAGAGTTATCACCGGAGGCTGCATAATGCTTGTCACCTTTAGCACAGCTCGCAGTAAATACTCTGGGAACAGCGGTGGGGATGGTAGGAGGCACAGTTGAGAAAGCTATTATTGTTTAATAATAGCAATAAAAGACAGAGCCAGAGAGGTAAGGCTACTTTGGAAAATTCCTTCATGGTATCCACCAAAGCTGATTCTATGGCTCAGGATCCTTTTCCCAGTTGTGTGTGTGTGTGTGTGTGTGTTTTATATCCCTCAGAAATGTATTCATACTTTACCAAAAGACATATACTACAATGTGCTTAACAATACAATTTGTAATAGCCAGAGGTGCCGTGGAAGAAAGACCTGGAGACCTGCTTCTCAAACGTCACCATCTTGAAACCCCTACAAAGCACAGTTCTTCCCTGCCCCACATGGAGTTGTCATGAGTTGGAACTGACGCCCCAGAAACTAGCATACCTGGTCTAAAGTGAGATGAGATCGAGGGAAGGCCTGTGTCCCCTGTAAGTCACGAGACTTGATTACACACCTACACGTGGTTGGCAATCATCCTGACACAACAAGCTTCCCTACAACCCCCAAGGATGAAAGCAGTGTGGGAGGAGGAAGCAAGGGAAAAGGAGCCACAATTCGCCTTATTCCTTCGTATTCTTAGTCCATTTCCAAATGCTTAGTTTTATATCAAAACAGTAACTCTACCTTAATGAAAAGGAAAAACAAGTAGGCATCTAGTTCAACATTTTATTGTAAATAGCATAAGGAAAATTCAATAGTTAACCTTCGGAATAAGTGGACAGAAATTGAATTTCTAAACAATGAATGGCATGGGAGAGGTGAGGGAAAGACCGTGGCTGTGTGTTATTTGGGTAGAGAATCAACTCAGGAAACCCACAGCACAACTCATCCATTAGAGCAACCCTGTAAACAGCCACTACCTAAAGAAACTAAACCCATCCACTTTGAAGAAGGGGGCACTTCAGAAACTTTCATTATATTTTTTTCTGGAAAGTATTAGATGCTTTCCCTCCTCCCACTATCACATTAGGCAAACACAGGAGTCCCTTAAACGCATCCAGCTTTTTGATTGGCTACTGTGAGAATTCGCATGCATTTTAAGTCCCTATCTTCAGATATTGAAATTTTGGTATCTGAAGTCATTACCACGAGTCTAGCTCCAACCAAGTGGAGGTTGGTTAACGTCTTGGGCTACTCTAGATCTATAATCCCTTAGCAACATTGAAACATCTAAAAAAAGTCTAAAACTAAAGATTTTTCATAAGCCTCGGGCATACTTATTTGGAGGCAAAACTTTGCCACTTATGGGCTATTTAGACTCTATACATTTGGTGTGAATAGTCTTTATTTTGTTGGAGAAATGTTAAAATAGTGATCTATAGGATCGTGGAGTATAAGCAACAGATTGCTAACCTAACAAGGTCGGTAGTTCAAACCCATCAGTCACTCTATGGGAGAAAGATGAGGCTTTCTGCTCCTGTAAAGGTTTACAGCTCTGCAAATCCCATACAGGATTCCCTATGAGTCAGAATCAATTCTAAGGCAGTGAGTGGTCCCAGACCCTACTAAGTATGGTCTATATTCTGTAACATATGAACATCATGCCAAAATTAATTCTGAGTTTGAAGGAACGCCTGTTCTCAGAGTTAGTATAAGCAATTCTGACCCAGAGCAGCCTGAACATATGTCATTGGACATGTGTCATTGGACCCAGGAAGTTCTGTGGTCTTCCACAGAAAGACCATTTCTTTGGTCTTCCAGGAAAGTGAAGACGTACCAAATATCCAATCTTCCTTTACGAGAAGGCAAATTTGGGGAAATGTGATCGTCTAGACCCGGGGTGGAAAACGTTTGGCCCGCAGGCAGTCTGTTGGTGTTGTTAAGTGCCATCTAGTCAGTTCTGACTCATATCTCACCCTTTTGAGGAGTGGCTGGTGAGTTTGAACTACCAACCTTGTGGTTGAGTGCTTATCCTACAGCATCACGCCAGGACTCCATATGAGGCCAGCAAAATCATGTGGTCTGACACTGCTAAGGCAAGCACAGTTCCAGCCATCACACTGTTGTTGTTGTTTTTAAGTGCCGTCGAGTCGATGCCAACCCATAGTGACCCTGTATAGGGTTTCCAAGGAGCAGCTGGTGAGCTTGAACCACTTTGTGGTTCAAACGACTTTGCAGTCTGACACATTAGCCCACAGAGCCATACCAGGCCATCACATTAGGGGTGAGTTAATTAAATGTTTGACCAAATATAGCAAGCTAAGTTTTAAGCTTAATAATTTTGCATGGCCCCACAAATGCTGTTTTCAATTTTGCCAGAAAAAAAGATTTCTCACCAGTGCTCTAGACTTTCCTTATAGGAATTTTCTTTTTGGAATAACCCAGCGCAATTGCTCACCCATTCCCGCCAATAACCCTGACTAGCTGAACAAATAAGTGAATAAATATTTATCCTCTAAGGTGATACCTTTTCACCAAAAGCACATGACATTGTCGTTCATGGGGGAGGGGGGGTCAAGGAGGGAGATGAAACAAAAGCAAAGAATGGAAAAAGTGTGAGGTTACGTATGATGAATACAGTTGCTTGCTGACCCAGCCGTATTAACCATCGATTGTGTTGGAAAGTGCTTCTCTGGATGCAGAGCTTGTAGGAGCTGCAGCCACAGAAAAGTCAGGTGGGACTTAACATGGGCCATGCTGCTCAAGGAGAGCAGAACTTGCCAAAGAAAATGATGTTTCGAGTTTTGTTGTGCCTGATGATGTAAATGAATGGGTGGTCAGCATTGAATTCATCCTTGTGTTGCAGGATGCGGGACCCTGGCACCTCAATGGAATCCCCACCATCTTCGGTTATTTCGAAGGACACTCGGTGAATCACATTGGATAGGGCCACTCCCTTGGCCTCTGACATTCCAGAGAAATCAGATGTATTTTCATTAAAGATGTTTTTCAGCCCTAGATTCTCCAGACTCGGCTTGGGGTCAACCATCTTTTCCACCTTAAATTTTGGAATGGAGAGTTTGACTTTGGCGTTGGTCATGGTGCTGGGGTTGGTCCACTGCAACAGTGTCTCTGAGTTGAGTTGTTTCTCAACCTAAAGGACAGAAAAAAAGAGAGACAGAGAGAGAGGGAAGAAATGATTCTTTTATTTTTATTTCCAATGGTAAGGTGTCCTGCTAGATTATCAAATAGTCTTTGTAAGTCCAGTTTCAAAGCAATCGGAATGGATCCTCAAATGTGGAAATGAGCTCTTTATATGTAACTAGTTCTTCTTATCAAAGACCCACCAAGCTTGTTCTCCTCACCCAGCAAGAATATTCTCGTTGCTCTGACATTTAGGAGTGAGGTGGGATGTGTTGTTCTTTTTTAAAATTAGAGTCACTTCATAGGACCAAATAAATAGATTATGGATGTTCTGTAAGTAATCATGAGACCAACGAAAAACTAGAAAGGCTTTTATATATAAAATTTCTTGAACATTTACTATAATTTCTCTACTTGGTGTTGTTAAGTGCTGTCGAGTCTGTTCTCGGCTCATAGAGACTCTATACAGGGTTTCCAAGAAGCGGCCGGTGAGCTTGAACTGCTGACTTTATGGTTCCAACCGACTGCGCAGTCCAGCGCATTTACCCATATAGCCATGTATTAGGCATGAGTTCCAATTTAATCATTCAAATCAAAGTTTCTAATGAGAATTTGGATGATCTCTGATGCATCCTTTAAAGATCATAGGTGGTGAATATGTTTGGTTTTAAAAACGAAAGATGTGTGATGAAGCAGGAAAATGATTTTGCCATCAAAGTCCTTGTTGAGCCAATCTTGAACCGCCCCTGTCCGTTACCTTTTCCAGGCCTGTCGACTCATCGTCCACGTCTTTGGGCAGCAGGATGAGCATGCTGAGGTGTTTATTCTGAAAAGGAAGCTCAATGATCTTGCTGTTGATGTCATCGATGTGGCCCATGCAGAAAGTAGCCTCCATGTTCATCATCTGCACAGGCTTGGTGTCCGTCTGCAAAAGAGGAAATTTGTCTGCTTACTTTCCAGGTTGCATGAGCATGATAAATATAAATATAAACATAAATATGTGCTGTTGTTAAGTGCAGTCAACTCCGTTCTGACTCACTGCGACCCTGTATAGTGTTTCCAAGAAGCAGCTGGTGGGTTTGAACTGCCACCTTGCTGTTCAAATTGACCTTGTGGTCCAGTGCTTAACCTATAGCACCACACTAAGGGCAGCTGGTAGGTTTGAACTGTCAACCTTGTGGCTACCTATCCAGTGCGCCACACCAGGACTCCAAGACTCCTATTAATACGTAGGAAAATGAGGTTACAGAATCAGTCAGGAGCAAGATTCCCAAATGGTCAAGACTTCACGATCATCCAAAGGCCTCTGGTGCTTGTAGGGAAGAAGGAGTTGGTTTCCTTTTCTTGCAGGAATTCCCCAATATTTGTAGCTATTTTCCAGTTGATGATTTAGCTTTATCCTCTGGGTTGTAAGTTGTGTAGGGTCTCACTCAGCACAGACCCCTAAGACTTTCTGGAAAGAGTGCGGGGTCTCTAGAATCCTGTTTGTTATCTACACTAGCATGGTGTGACCAGGACAGGCCCCTTCCTTCACGAGGCCTCGTTCTCCCCATGACCCCTGGAACTGGAGCGGGGGTGCCGTTAATGGCTGCATGCTGCACCACATACCTTGTTTACTCTGAAAGGGCATTCTTTTGTTTCCGACTCAGGAAATTTCTTCATCCACTTTCCAACAAAGTAAGCAGCATTTACCACAAGGATTTTGGTCTGATCATTGACACTCTTGTCACTTAGAATTTCCTCAAAGTGGCCTGCAAAAAATTGTAAAACCACAAATCCCAGTGACTGTTCCAAACCAGCATTCGGATACACGTAGGCAAGTCCACTCCCTGGGTGACCACCGTTTGCTAGAGTGACATCAGATTAAAACCCACTGACAGCCCCATCGGTAAAGAGGATCCTGACACTCGGCATCCCCATCTGTGATGGACCAGAGCTGCACTCGGAGGTTTTCTCACCTGAAGGAGCTCTAGGAGCTTTAATTAGCACTCTGTCATTAACCAAATAGTCAGAGGTTCAACCAACTGGCTGCTCCACAGAGGAAGTGTGGTAGTCTAGGAGACCCTATGGGGAAGTTCTACTCTGTCTATAGGTCCACTGTGAGTCAGAATTAACTCATGGTAAGTGCTTGGGGGTTTCGGTTTGTTTAAGTTTTTTGACAACTGATCACCAGGACTGTCTTCCAATATGCTTCTGTTGTTGTTGTTGTTGTTGCTGTTGTTATGTGCCGTGGAATTGGTTCCGACTCATAGCAACCCTGTACAGGGTTTCCGAGGCTGTAAATCTTTACGGGAACAGAAAGCCTCATCTTTCTGCCATGGAATAGAAGGTAGTTTCAAATTGCTGACCTTGAGGTTCACGGCCCGATTCGTAACCACTATGCTACCAGAGCTCATGTTGTTGTTGTTGTTAAGTACCACAGGGTCAGTTCCGACTTATAGTGACCCTGCACTAGGTATGTTCAAACCACCAACTTATAGGTTAATGTTACTGTTGTTGTTAAGTGCCGTTGAGTCGGGTCTGACTGATAGCAACCCAAGGAACAGCTGGTGGGATTGAACTGCTGACCTTGTGGTTCGCAGTCCAGTGCTAATCCTACAGCACCATACCAGAAGTCCTTTTAGGTTCATCATTGTGTAAATTGTTACACCCAGGGATCTTAACTGTGGCCCCAGATCATCACATTTCAGAAGGACCCCCGCCTCAATCCTCCCCGGTTGCGGCCACCACGCTCACAAAGAGACCTAGAGGGGGAAAAAAAGGGGGAAAAAGAAGGAAAGAGACAAAAGAGAAGGAAGAATAAAACCTCACACTAGCACCTTTTAATGCCTATTTGTGCCAGGCCGTGTGCTAGGCATTTCGTATGCCCGATTCCAGATATTTCTCCCTGTTTTACAGAGGACAAAGGCGAGACTTGGAGATGTAAAGCCACTTGTCCAAGAGGTCACACGGGCCAGGGTAGATTTGGGACTGAAAGCCAGGTCTTCATGACTCCAGTTTCTGGGTTTACAGAAAGTGTCTGGGAACTTGTTGTGGACCTGGCCCTGGGCTCAGCATTTTCTGATAAGGCAAAGATCGGCAGTCCCATTTCAAAGTTGAGGAAACTGAGGTTCAGAAAGGCCAGGTGACTTTCTAGTTCACAGAGCATGTCTGAGACCCACACATCCCCCACCCCCAAGTGTTTGCCTCAAGGTCCGCTGCAATCAGGGAGGGTGCAGGGCTCATCAGACTCACCGTCCACTGACTCTTGTCCTGTAACCTGGTGTCAATTTGCCCTCACTGGAAACTGACTCAGCCCCTACTCCCAAGGGATCCTTTACTACAATCACCTTTACTTGCTGCACAGTGTTACTGTTGTTGTTGTTAAGTGTCATAGAGTCAGTTCCGACCCACAGCGACCCTTTATGGGGTTTCCGAGGAGCAGCTGGTGAGCTTGAACCTCCAACCTGCGATTCAGACCAACTTTGCAGTCCAGCGCATGAACTCACAGAGCCACGCCAGGACTACCTGGATGCATATGCAGCTTTAAATCATGGAAAGGCTGTGACCCTATTCTTGTATTTAAGTACAGTTAAATAAGAACCAGATGCACCTCTCCCACGTCGCCTACAAATTCTACTTAAAGATACACTTACAAGTGGAGTTCATGTGTAACCTGGGGACGATCTACACAGTATAGAGCGCAAATCCCCAATACAAAGGCCCTTGAAACCTTCTATCCTTTTCTCCTCCATAAATTCATAGAATTTTAGAGTTAGAAGTGACCTCATGAGCCATCAAGTAGTAGTAGAATCCCTTCATTTCCAAATTGGAATGGTGGTCCAGTGATGTTGGTGACTTGCCCATAGGGGCACAAGAGCTCTGAAAATGAGGGGAAATCTGTTAAAACTGAAGCACCAGAAATTCCTGCCAAGTGAAGAGAGGATGCAAGAAATGCTCTGAAATCCAGGTTGTCAGATGGCTTTATGGGTAAGAGTTTAGCTTGTGTAATTAAAAAGTACCCAAGGAATCTTCAAGATGTTGAATTCGTTTATATCTGGTTAATGTTGCTCTCGTTGCCGTCAAGTCGGTTCTAACCCATAGTGACCTTGTATAAGGTTTCTGGGGAGCAGCTGCGACCTATGGTTCACAGTCCAGCGCTGATCCTATGGCGTCACACCAGAAGCCCATGCTTGGCTGATGGATGCATGAAACTGCAAGGTGAGTTTACGTAGCAATTTACAGCAGAATAAGTAAAAGGTACTTGCCATCTGTGAGTTCCTTAACTGATTTGTTGATTTGACCTTTGGTTTCTTCCATTTTATCTTTGAAATCAACAGTTTCCAATTCTTTCGCATAGGGTCTCTTCGTTGAACTGATGAACTCCTGAAAAACATCCAGTTCATAAAATCACAAAGGACTTAACAACTGTATGACTAGAAACCTCATATGGAAATGATGAATTTTCTTTGTATTGTTTCATTTATTCAATAATAAGACACTATAACATCGTCAAAGTATCCAATAATTTAGTATCAGCTTTTAGGGGAAGAAAAGAAACACTACACTAGCTTCTGAAAGACTGGCAGTTAAAGCTCACTCAGCAGTTCCTCAAGAGAAAAGCTCAGCAATCATTCTCCATAAAACCTAGAAAACCCTACAGGGCACTACTACTATGTCACGTGGGATAGATGTGAGTCCAAACCAACGTGATGGCACCCAACAACTACATCATGTTGGCTTTGTTAAGTGCTGTCCAGTCAGTTCCAACTCACAGTGACTGTATGCACAACGTATCTAAACACTTCGGGGTCCGGCACCATCCTCACCATCCTTACAATCATTATTACTTTTCAGCCTCTGTCAATCCATCTCACTGGGCGGAGGGGGGGGGGTCTTCCTCTTTTTTTGCTGACCCTCCACTTTAACAAGCATGATATCTTCCTCCCTCCTGATGATATGTCTGAAGTATGAGAGATGGAGTCTGGCCATCCTGGCTTCCAGGAAGTATTCTAACTGTACTTTTTCCAACACAGACTTGTTTGCTCTTCTGACAGTCCATGGTTCTTTTATTATTCCTCTCCAACACCGTAACTCAACTTCATTTTGCTCAGATCAACTGTTAACACTCATGGAAGCAGCAATGAAGAAATCAAGCGACGTTAGGCAAGTGTGCTGCACAAGATCTCTTTAAAGTGTTTAAGAGCAAAGATGTCAGCTTGAGGACTAAGGTGCACCTGACCCAAGTCATGGTATTGTCAATAACCTCTCATGCATGTGGAAGTTGGATGCATGAGGAAGTGGTATTTTTAGTTGCCTCATATACGAGTGAAAGCTGGACCTGAGGAGAAAAGAAATCCTCAGAAGAAGTGATGCAGCTGAGTTAGGGTGTTGAAGAAGAATATTGAATAAGCCAAGGACTGCCAGAAAAAATGGACAAATCTGTCTTGAAAGAAGTACAGCCAGAATGTTCCTTAGAAGCAAGAATGGTGATGAAGACCTGAGGGGCACAGGGGAAGGATTGCATGGAGGGGATTGTAACCATGGCAATGAGACAATATACGATGGAATGAATGTAAAAGTAATATTCTCCCATGTAAACTATCACATAATTCACAATAAATCATTAAAAAAAGAAAAGTAAATAAATAAATAAAATAAAACTATCCATGAATTGAAAATAAAAAAAGAATGGCGAGACTTCATCTCACATATTTAGACATGCTATCAGGTGGGGCCAGTCCCCAGAAAAGAGCATCATGCTTGGTAAAGTTGAGGGTCAGAGTAAACCATGAAGATCCCCAATGAGATGGATTGACACAGTGGCCTCACTAGTGGGCTCAAACAGAGCAACAATTGTGAGGATAGTGCAGACTGGGCAGTGTGTTGTTCTATTGTACACGGGGTCACTATGGATTGGAGCCAACTCATCTGCACCTAAGTGACAACAGATTCCAACCCCGATCTGTTGAATCAGAATCTTCAGTTTCACAAGATTCCTAAGTGAGTCATGTACACATTAAAGTTAGAAACGCCAGAGAAGTGGATGAAGATCTTTTGACTCCATGGCCATTGGTGTTCACTGAAGGAATCTGAGGCCGGGATTTTGTGCAAAAGCACAAAACAAACCCCCAGGCAGTTTTGATCACACTTGTTTGTACTCTATCTAGTAAAAGCTCCCGAGGCTGTACAGCCAGAAGAAAGCATGGAAGGGTTTTTTGTTTGGTTTTGCTTTTTTGTTTTTGTTGTAATTCCTGTACAGTATCTCATCTACCCTGAGACCAGAGCTAGGTGGTACTCAGCTATGACTACCAACCATTGCAATCTTGGTCACAATAGATGGAACCTGAGAGGATGGGAGAAGAGGCTACAACAGAACCTCAAATCCCTAAAAAAATAAAGCCAGAGCTACTAGACTGGTTGAGCTTGAAGGACTCTCCAAAACTGTTTCCCTGAGATACTTTTCAAAGCTTGACTCAAAACTAACCCCTGAGATCACCCTGTAGCTAAGTAATAAATTGGTTCAAGAAATAATGATTACCCATAAGTACTGTGTCCCTTTTTAAAATCACCTACATGACACCAAACCAGTCATTAATGGCTTCAAAATAAAGATGAGAATGTGAGGGAGCAGGGAAACTAGATTGGTGGTAATGGAACAACCAGTATGAAAATATTAAGAATGTTCATACATTATGAAGAAGGTAATCAATGTCAGTGAACAACTTGTGTAGAAATTGTTGAACGAGAACGTAAGGTGCTATGTAAACCTTCACTGATAACACAAAAGTATTTAACAATAAGAAAAAATCTTTGCAACCACTGATTTGGTTGAAATCATGCAAAACGCTTAATGAAAGTATAAGCAAACAAAGTATATCTAAAACGCATTGCCATCAAGTCTCTTCCAACTAACCGCAACCCTGAAAGACAGAGTTGGAGTCCTGATGTGGCACTGTAGGATAAGCACGTGACTGTTGTCCACAAAGTCAACAGTTCAAACGCATCAGTCACTCCTCAGAAACCCTACACCAGGTCGCTATGAGTTGGAACCGACTCGATGGCACTTAACAACAACAACAACAAATCTTTAGAGAAAGTCTTGGTGTTGTGCTATAGGACAAGCAGTGGACTCTTAACTGCATGGTCAGCAGTTCAAACCCATCAGCCACTCCTAGGAAACCCTATACAGGGTCACTCAGCGAACCCCATACAGAACCAACTCAACAGCACCTAATAACAACAACAACACTACAAAAAGTAGTAAAACTATGGTAAAGTATGTAGCCTTTAGATATTTTCAAATTGTGGCGATGCAAACATGAGGTGAATCAAGTTTTTATGACTAAAGTGGGGATCCGGTTGCCGTCAAGGTGACTCCGGTTCTAGTGACTCCACGTATATCGGTGTAGAACTGTGCTCCACAGGGTTTTCAGGGCCTGGTTTTTCAGAAAGAGATCACCAGAGAGGTTTAATCATTTGTGCTACCCAGGGGAGAAGCTTCCTCCATTTAGTGTAGAAACTTCACTGCTGAGAATCTATTCCAACTCCTAGCAACCTCGTAAGACAGACTAGAGTAGGCCCACAGGGTTTATGAAGCAGAAGTAGATTGTCATGTCTTGCTCTCATGGAGCGGCTGGTGGGTTCAAACTGCTGACCTTCTGGTTAGCAAGCAAGCACTAAATCACAATACCACCAGAACTCTATACAGTCTGGGATGCTGATTATGTTTTTCAAATAAAAATGTTACAATACCCACTAAAGATATCAATGTCTTTCATACTTTGGACATGTTATCAGGAGGAACCAGTCCCTGAAGAAGGTATCATGTTTAATAAAGTATCAGGTCAGTGAAGGAGAGGAAGATCCCAATGAGATGGACTGACACAGTGGCAGGAGCAATGAACTCAGGCATCACAAAAACTGTGAGGATGAAGAGGGACAAGGCAGTGTTTCATTCTGTTGTGCCTGGGGTTGCTATGGGTCAGAATCTGCTCAATGGCACCTGACAACAACAACAACAACAAAAGATATCCACAAGCATAAAGGTACCACCGAACTCTTCAGATGATCATTCCCTCAAGAAATAATTGAAATTAAACACCCAGAGCTACCTCGTGTGGACATCCATTCTAGTGTCCTGTTCAATCATGACCTAGTAAAACAAACAACCCTGAGTTGTGACTAGCCACAACTGTTCATTCATGTTTTGCTATTTTTCTTACTGATGTAAGGAGAACGCTATGTGCATACTACATACAGTGAAGATTTTTAAATGTTGTCTAAGGCATATGCTTACTGTTTAAGAAGAAGGAGATTTGAATCATGAACTGTCTTGTATCCATGGAGATAAATTTATTAGACAATTCATTGCCCTATTCTCTATTTCTATTGGTGGAGAAGTTAAAAGGGAGGGTACAATTTATGAGTATTTGAGAAGGAAACAGGAAGCCCACAAATTGACTGTTTTGAGCTCAAAGCTGTATCTATCATTGATTCCTTCTCTATTCAACATCTCCATTAGGACTGATGGATTTTAATAAACCTGAAGTCGTAACTGAGAATCCTAGAAATTAATTTCACTCAAAAAAAAAAAAAAAAAAGGTATAGGCTTAATGCTGTGAAAATACCATTTCTGGTAAACAGTTAAATATTTTTAATTACTATAAATAACTTACTGTAGAAGGATTCAGAGATTTGTCTACATAGAGGCGTTTGATGAGTTTCAGTGAGTAAAAGGAACTGAGTTTATTTACATCCGATGTTACTGTTTGAAATCCAAACGGCACATCTTTGACATTTTCAAAATGAAGGACCTGTTAAGAGAAGAAATCCATTATTTACAAAGCATTTCCTGAACTTTGCTGAAGGACAGAAATTTATTCTCCAATTCTCAATTTCAAGTGTAACTCCTTCATCTTGACCCAAATAACATTTCCTAGGTCACATGAGAACTTTGTGGTGCCTTATGAGTATTAGAAAATGTTTCCTGTTTAAATGTTTATAAGCCCATGCAAAGGGAGAGTCTGTTGGACTTCACAATGATGAACATAAGGATAATACTGGAATGGTATTAGGAGACTACTTACCTACTATCAAAAAACATAAGAGGACTTAAAATGTAACAATGTGGAGACATGTCCTGTTTGAAGGTCTAAGAACTTTACAAAGCTACTTTGCATTGCAAGGATAGAGAGAAAGCCCAAAAGAAACTGTAAAGATAGATAAATTCTACTTCATCTACTGCGTTCAAAATGTTTTAATACACTTTGTTTTAGTCTATGTTTCTCACGAGGGCTACTCAAGGCCCAGAGAGTGTTCAGAACCATAAGTGAACACAATCCACCTTCATATTCATCTATGTGACTTGAAGGAATATCATTTAAAATTTTATTTCTGTATTAAAATAAGCATGGATGTGTCACAGGGTGGAATGCAATTAAGCTTGCACCTTAAAAAGAAAATGTAATGCTTTCAATAAAATGTACTTATAGTTGATCATTTCGGTTTTTGTTTCAACATTGGAGAGAGGTGTAGAGTCTCACTTTTTTCCTTCCTGGGTTATTTACAGTACAATATTTCTCAAACACGATCTTGACTGATCCTTACAATGAAAAAGATGTCAGTTGTCGTGCCTGAGAGCCCATCGGACCCACTGGTTCTCCATCATAACATGGTGCCTGTTTTAAATGTGGGTGGCTGAACAGATCAATGAGCATTTATATTCAAAAACAGACTGAGAGTCACCCCTCAGTCCTGAGAGAGCCTAACCACGAATTCCCCACTAACTTTCCCCTAAACGCATCTCTGGGTTCCAATAACTGTACTCACACTCAGAGCAGAAAAATGTCTGGGTCTTACCTGTCCAATTTCATTTGCTGTGTCACCTTTGGCACCTACTTGAGCAAGTGACAGAGAGGTGGAGAGACAGATTGGAGAGAAGAGAACGTTGCCCGTTGGCTCCTTTTCACACAGTTGTTTGAACAGGTCAACTGCAAATGCAGAATTTGCCAGTCTGAGGGCATCCATTGTGAGTCTAGAACCAAAGGAAAATGGCATGTTCATTGAAAGCCTATCTGTAAATGTTCTGAGCTGCATTCTGCCAGTCCAATACCATTCTATCCCAACCAAGTGGTGGTGGTGGGCCGTGGAGTCGGTTCTGACTCATAGCGACCCTGTATAGGGTTCCTGACGCTGTAAATCTTTACGGGAGCAGAAAGCTTCATCTTTCTCCCGTGGAATAGCTGGTAGTTTCTAACTGCTGACCTGAGGTTTACAGACCAATTCGTAACTGCTATGCTACCAGAATTCTCCTAGGATTCCTCTTTCATTCTTCAGTTTTGAAGTATATAGTAGGTGTCTTCCAGGATATCGTCTTAGACCATGAACCTCCTTCTGGGATGGGTTTATTATTATTATTGTCAGTTGCCATTGAGTTCATTTGACTCATGCCAACTCATGTATGCAAAGTAGAAATGTTAGAACTGTGATCCAAGGGTTTTCAAGGTTGTGAGCTTTTGGAAGCCAATCACCAGATCTGTCTTCCAAAGTGCCTCTGGGTGGGTTCAAACTGACAATCTTTTGCCTAGAAGTTGAGCACTGATCAATTTGTACCACCCAGAGACTCCTCAACCAAGTGTCAAAGTGGAAGAGCACCCTTCCGTGAATAAAAGAAAGGAATGAACTTTATGTGAACTCAAAAAGAAATCTAGGAGGAAAATCAGAGAAAGAAAGCCAGCTTGTGAAGACATCCCTAGGTAAGTCCTAAGTTCTCAGTGGTCTAGCAGGTGAGCGCCCCTGTGTGCATAGCTGACCAGGTGGCTCAGCCACTGTGTCAGGAGCCCAGTGGTCAGGACAGAATGGTAGACAGCTCCGATGAACGGCTGCTGTTTCTCTGTAAAGCATTTTGTTTCTATTAGGCGTTAGGGTAAGTCACAGCAACCTGAAAATCTGCAGATGAAAAACCATCACATCACAGCAGTTTCCTGTGACTCCATGTAACGTTTACTAAAGTAATGCCTTTGTAGGGTACCTGACACACAGCAACAGCTGTTTTTATTTTGGTTGTTTGTACATGTCTGCTATGTGCAAGATACATACAAAGTGTACTAAGGATCACTTTGGTCCCTCCTTCTCCAAGTTTATAATCCTAATAGTGAGAAGGCAGGGCTGCCCACAGCATATATTATAATATGTAGCATAGATTTGCCATAGAACTAAAATGGACAGTAAAGACGAGCGAAGGCAGCTTCCGCTTTAAAACCCGGATCCTGGTAAAGGTCCTGGAGTAGTACAAACAGTTTGTGCTCAAATACTAACCTGAAGGTTGGTGGTTTGAACCCACCCAATGGCGTCACAGAAGAAAAGTCTGTAGCTCTGCTTCCATAAAGATCACAACCACAAGAAAAATGACCTTACGGAATTGTAATACTCTATAACACCTGAGGTTGCCATGAGTGGGAATTGACTATGGTAAAAAGTTAATGTGGATAAAGCCAGTGGTCATCTGGTTACCTCTTAGATCCTCTTTCTGAAGCAGAGGTTCTCAAAGTATGCCCAAAGGTTCCAGGCTGTCCTGTAGGCCTTTTCAGGAACTTCTTAAGGTCAAAACTATGTTCATAATAATGCGAGAATATCATTTCCCTTTTCACTCTCTTTCTCTCATGGTGCTTTCCTGCAACTCCGGGACCTGTCTTCTATTAAATCAAATATTGAAGACATTTGCATAGATGCAAAATGGCACATCACTCTTCTCACAACACATTGGTGTGGTGTTTTTTTACTGTAGAAAACTGCGTTTTTTCATAAAAAATATGTTATCTATGTTAGAATGTAAAAATAATGCGCTATTATTTTTTAATAAAATTGAAAATATATATTTCAAAAATGTTTCCCATTTACTGAGAATGGTAACTTCCTATTTAAAAAAGCTCGGCTGAGGCGATTTGACCACGGTCACCTGGCAGTGGGACCGACAAGTGGATCAAAGAGAAATGTTCTTCTTACCATTTTCTTCAAAGAAAGCATTATTCATTCATTATAGCATTGGAGGTACATTTAGTCTCAATGACTATGAATAAAAGGTCATTTGTGGCGTTTAGTGCTGTTAATTGCACAATGTAATTAACACAGTGTTGTAATCTCAGGCTGAGGTCCAGGTCCCTGTTGAAACGTGTATGGGTACACAGACTTCGCAGAGGCTTCTCACCAGGAAGACCCTGCCTGGCAGTGGGTTCCCGTCCACCGAATGCAGCACCCACAGAATAAGTCCAAACAGGCCTATGTTTGTGTCTATGTGCCTGAAGGCATGATTCTTTTTCTGAAACTCCTCCTTCAGGTGAAGAAGGGCATGCAGCTCCTAAAATCTGAAGTCTCTGCATATTTGCAGCTTAACAAGAGGTCTCAGAAAGAGTCTGTATGCACAGTAAGAATTAAACAATCAATCAATATTAATCATGGTAAATCTGATCAGTTGATAGAGGGATTGGTTCCATAATCTATAAAAACCAAACCTATTGCATCAGGTTGGTTCTAGCTCATAGCGACCCTTTGTGTCAGAGTAGAACTGTTACATTAACTTTACAACTTCAGACATGTGGTCAGGAAGGACCAATCCCTGGACGACGGTGCCGTGTTTGGTAGAGTGGAGGGCCAGAGAAAAAGAGGAAGACCCCCAATAAAATGGTTGATACCGCAGCAGCAGCAACAGACTCAACAGTGTAACAGTGTGGGGAGGGCACAGGCCCGGGCAGGGTGTCGTTCTATTGTGCATAGGGTCATTGTGAGTCAGAACAGACTGGATGGCACCTGACAACAACAGCCTTTACAAAACCAGACCACCAGACCTTTTGTTGATGTGTTTGAACCACTAACCTTTGAGTGTCTTTGAACCGCTAACCTTCCAGTTAACAACCGAGAGCCAGCCATTTGCGCCAGGCAGGAAACTTTTCAAGTGACCTAAAAACACTTTGGTGGTGATCTGGGCAGAAGTATCTCAGGGATGACTTTGGTCACAACCAGTTTCTGGCTCACTGTGTCACCAGATTATCTGAACGTGTAAAAAACAGTCAACTGTGTTTGCATTACAACCGAGGAAAAGCATCCAGCTCCCGTACAGACTATTTGGCATAAGAAAATGCTACAGAAATGATGGGGACAGGAGTTGAAAACAGCAGTTCCTATGGAGTGAAGTCATGCTTAATGACATGTTAGAAGGGCTGAGGCCACTGCACATTTTCTCATTTTATTACCACCCTGCTACAGAGATAATGTTCTGGCACTCAGGAAAACTGCACAGGAATTGTACAAATAAAGACATTCACGCAGCTCCAATGTAGGAAACACTACATCTTTCAGCTATACCAAAGTACAAATGCACTTTTATTTTACTCTAAGAGGGAACATTTAAGTAGTAACACAAAAGCAGTTACAAGAATTTGTTTTGAAAGTCACCTGTTTTTTGCAACAGTTTGTTAAAATCATAGACCTTTTTTTTTTATGCTCACTATAAATGAGTCCTGGTATGGTGATGTGGCTTAATGCATTGGACTGTAAGTTCGGTTTGAACCTCAAGGTTAGTGGTTCAAGCTCACCAACTGCTCCTCGGAAACCCTACACAGGATCACTATGAGTCAGAATTGACTCAATGGCACTTAACAACAACAACAAATAAATCATGGAATAGCCAGGCATTCAAAATCAAAAGGGCAACATTGACCTAAGGACGAAGTTGAGAACGGATGGGAAGGAAGGTGGGCTGGAAACAGGAACCCCAGGGAGGAAGTGGGGTCACTGTTGTTGCAGGGAAGAGAGGATTGCAGTCACTGAGATGAAACAAAGTGGAGGATTTGTTGAATGTAAAACTGATATCCTGTCTGTAAATCCCCTCTCAAGTCACAATAAAAAGTCTGAAAAAAAAAAAAAAAAATCAGAGGCCTTTAAAGTGGAAAGAAATCTCTGAGTCCATCTAGTCTGGTCCCACCCCTTCATTTTACAGAAGAGGAAAGTGAAGCCAACAGAGATGAACTGATGTTCCCAAGACCACCCACGCAGGGCGTGACAGTGGAAAAACCAGAACCCAAGTTCATTTCTTCTAGCTCTCACCCTCTTACTTCCCCACCACACTGAGCCTCCTTAGCAATTACATCATTGCTGGCATTTGTCCTCTCAGAAGTCTCTAGAATTCCCCAAATCTTATATATTACTCCTATGGTGGTGGTGGTTATGTGTCGTGGAGTTGGAACTGACTCATAGTGACCCTGTAGAGGGTTTCCGAGGCTGTAAATCTTTATGGGAGCAGAAAGCCTCATCTTTCTCCCGCGGAACATTTGGTAGTTTCGAACTGCTGTCCTTAAGGTTCGCAGCCCAATTCGTAACCACTACGCTATCAGAGCTCCTTATTACTCCTATAGAAACACCAAAAGGAGCCAACAACTTCACCTTTCTCTTGTCAAGTGGCTTGAAGCTCACTGCCTAATCCACAGTGCCACCAGGGGTCCTTTGTTGTTGTTGTTAAGTGCCATCGAGTAGGCTCTGACCCATTAGCTATCCTGTAAAGGGTTTCTGAGGAGCAGCTGGTGAGCTTGAACCACCGACTTTGAGGTTCAAACTGACTTTTGCAGTCCAGCACATTAGTCCACAGAGCCACACCAGGACTGTTGTTGTTAAGTGGCATTGGTTAAGTCAATTCCAGTCCATGGGGAAGCTGTATAGCGTTTCCAAGGAGCAGTTGGTAAGACTGGACCACAGACCTTGCAGTTCAAACAACTTTGCAGTCTGATGCATTAGCCCACAGCACCACACCAGGGCTCCTTTGTTGTTGTTGTTGTTAAGTGCTGTTGAGTTGATTCCGACCCATAGCGACCCTGTATAAGGTTTCTGAGGTGCAGTTGGTGAGCTTGAACTGCCAACCTTGCAGTCTGGCACATTAACCCACAACGCCACACCAGGACTCCAGGACTCCTTTGTTGTTGTTGTTGTTTAGTGCCGTTGAGTTGGTTCCGATCCATAGCGACCCTGTACAGGGTTTCTGAGGCTGTAAATGTTTAAG